AAAAAAAAAAAAAAAAAAAAAAAAAAAAAAAAAAAAAAAAAAAAAAAAAAAAACTGAGCAAAACAGAAATTGGTACTGAGAAGCGGGGTCCTTGTTGTGACTAACCTGACCCTGTGGTTCAAAAGCTTTTTGAGGTTTTTGGATTTGATGGGAGAAATTTTGAAATGTGTAGCAGTGTAAGCTGGAAAAGCTTTAGTTTGTTGCAACTGGAGATTAATGGTCGATTCTGGTGGGAGTGCAGAAGACCATAATGGTGATAGGACCATTGCCAATGAAGTCTGGGCTCAAGAGGGTTTAGAGGAAAAGGAGGAGACTATTGGTAACTGGAATAGAGTCCATTTGGGTTCTGTTCTGTCTGAGAAGTTGTCTGCATTTTGCCTATGTCCTGAGATTCTCTGTGAGGCCAATTTTAAAAGCAAAGGACTTCTTAATCTGGTGGAGGAAATTTCTAGGCAGCATAGCATTCAGGTGGTGGCACAGATATTGCTGGCAAGTTTTAGCCAAGTTTATTGTGATATTCAAGAGCAGAAAGAAAGCAGGAGGGGGGAGATTTGAAAAACTTGGACTTGAAAAGTGAAAGTAAAATTAAGGCTAAGGAAATTGCAGTTGTTAAAGACATTACTGCCACTAAAGAAATGTTAAAGACTTTACACAGAGACAATAAGAAGATGGCTTGAGGGCATCTCGGGAGCTGGCAAGACCACACCCATCTCAGGCTCAAAGAAGTAAGGTGAAAATTCTTTTGAGAAGAGATCAGTGGGGCACCCTTCTTGCACAAAGGGACCTAGGAAGTTTTTTCAACATACTCAGCTACCCAGACTCTCCAAGGCTGCTGCAGCTATGGTCCCTGGAGGCTGGGCTATTGCTCAAGATGATGACAGACCTTGGTGTCAACCATGTGGTGTTGGTTCTGCAGGAATTCAGGATGCTGGAGTTAGGGGGCCATGGAAGTTTCCAACAAAATTCCTGGAAAGGCAGGCAAGGTGCAGCAAGATTGTAGTCCCTGAGGGCATCCCTTGAGAAGACAGAGTATGGAGATGTGAGGAGGAAGCTAAATAGCAATGGAGATCCCTGAGATTAAGAAATGCCAGTAACATGGGACATTGTCCTAGGAAAGCTGCAGGAATCAAACAGGGACAAGCCAACAGAAAGGCCACTTGGGCTGCAACAAACAAGACCACAGGGGCAGAGCTACACCAGCCCTTTGGAGAGGACATCATGCCATGTGCTCCAGATGGTGGACACAGACCTATGGGACCTGCTTGCCCAGCCGGATTTTGGTCTTGCTTTGGTCCTATCACTTCTTTCTATGCTTCTCTTTTTGAGAATGGAAATGTTTGTTGTGTACCATTATATATTAGATACTTGTAAATTGCTTTTAATTTAATGGGAGCTCAAAATGCAACATTGCCTTAACTTTGGACTTGAACTTTGAGCAATCTCAGAACTGTTGAGACTATGGGGACTCTTGGGAGTGGACTAAATGTATCTTGCATTGACAGATGAATGTGAGCTTTTGGGGGCCAGGGGCAGAATGTTATGATTTGGATGTGAGATGTCCCCAAAAGCTCCCATGTGAGAAAATATGAGAAGGTTCAGAGGAGAAATTATTGGGTTGTGAGAGTCTTAATCTAATCAGCGAATTAATCCCCTGATAAGGATTGAGTGATAACTAAAGTGGTAAGGTATAGCTGGAAGAGATGGGAATTGGGGCATGGCTTTGGGATATATATTTATATCTGACAAGTGGAGACCTGCTTTCTGATAGCCATTTAAACTGCTTCCCTCTGCCACGATGTCCTGCCTCATCTTGAGGCCCGAGGAATGGAATCAGCCGCCCGTGGACTTAGACCTCTGAAAGTGAGCCCCCAAATAAATAAACCTTTCCTTCTCTATAGTTGTGCAGGCTAAAACAGAAGGAGTTGAACCACTTCCATAATAGCATGCTCCCATGACACAAATGCCTGCTATTAGGTCCCACCCTCCAATACCACAAAATCAGGGATCAGGTTTCTAACATATTTACTTGGGGAGACACATTAAAACCATGGTACCTATCATCAACAGAAGAATACACATTTTTCTTGAGTGCACATTAAATATTTACAAAGATATACAATCTTCTGAAATAGGAAAAAATCCTAATAAATTTATAATAATTCAAAACATACAAAATGTTTTCATGCAAAATTGTATTATAAAATGAATAACAGTAAAGTATCTGGAAAAATCTCCAAATATTTGGAAATTAAAGAGCATACTTCTCAATAACCACAGGTCACACCAGGAATCAATATGAAAATCAGAAATTATTTTGAACAGATTAAAATTTGTAGAATATAGCTGAAGCTGTATTTAGGGAGAAACTACATTATAATGTATGTCTGTATTTGAAAAAAAAGGAGAACATTCTCAAAAACTGTGATCTCAGCTTCTTTTTTTATTTTTATTTTTTAGTTTTCAATGGACCTTTGTTTTATTCATTTATATGTGGTTCTAAGAATCAATCACACATGCTAGGCAAACAATTTGTCACTGAACTACAACCCTAGCCCTCAGCTTCTATCTTAACAAGCTAAGAAAACGAAGTATGAGTGAAACTTAAAGTAAGTGTAAGAAAAAAAAAATACTGATCAGAGTGGAAGCCAACACAATTAAAAAAAAAAGAAATTAAAGAAAAATTATCAACATTTAAAAAAGAATGAACATAAAACTTCAGACTCTTCCAAAAAATTGAATCTCATCCTAAAAGTTAGGAAGCATTACCAAGGTAGCAAATTCAGACAAGATACAACAAGAAAAACAAACCAAAAATTACAGATCAATATTTCTTATGATGAGTATGGATGTAAAAATCATCAAAATATACTAGCAAACCAAATCCAGTAGCATATTAAAAGGGTTATACACCATGACCAATAGGATTTATTCCTGAAATGCAAGGATAATTTAACATATGTTAAATAACTTGATCTAATGGATACTTTGGTAACCCAAATGTCCAACAGCTGCAAGATACATTTTCTTATCAAGCATACAGGAAACATTTACAAAATAATGATTCTACCATTTTGCTATTTAGTTTCTTAAGATACACACACTAGGTTGAATTATATTAATCAAAAACATATCCTGGAAATTTCTGTCTTGTGCAAATTTCTTTTCTCCTCTTCACAGGTGTTAACTATAGATTATGTAGTTGAAACATGCTTTCTTGAGTAAATTATATTTGTATTGTATATATATAGGTATATATCACTTCATTTAATTCTCAAATAACTGTATATGTCAGAACCATTGACATAAGTAATCAAGAATTGCTATCAGTGTTATTATTACTATGATAACAGCAAAGAAGTTAATAAACAAGTATGCAAATTATATTGGTAGTTAATAGACCTGGATTATAGTCCAATTCTTGAGTATTTAACTGGATAGCTTTATGTGTAGAAGCTAACTCACAATAAGGACGAAAATGAAGGGAAGAATAGAAATGAAGTAGATAAGACAATGAGGAATGGAGGGAAGGGACAGGYTATAGACAAAGGAAAGACAGTAGAATGAATCTGGAATCTGACATAATTTTTCCGTGTACATATATGAAAATAATACAGTGAATCCCACCTCCATGCACCTCCATAATAATGGGACTCCAACTAGAATAAGATATATTTTGTGCTTGTATAATTATATTATAAAGGATTCTGCTGTCATAGATGACTGAAAAGAACCAACAAATTTTTAAAAATAATAATTCCCCTTGACATTTCTGAGATCAGAGCAGTCACTGAAGTAGAAGGATTTAAGCTAGGTGATATGTAATTTCATTTTAGGTCTAAGATCTATTAATAAATCTATCTATAAATCCTAGGTTATTTTGTTTGATGATTTCATTACAAACTACCTTAAATTTGAAATTTGGGGGGTTTTGTTACCAAAAATCATTAATGCCAGCTTGCACTTCTACAGCCTATGTCATAAATGAGTTGGAACTGTTTAATTCACCTTTACTGTGTAATGACTTTAGATGCTAATTCACCTCTTTGTTGCTTAGTAGTGCAAGAATCAGCATGCTACATTGGCACTTTAATATTGACATTATTTTTATATATAGATGTGTTTCTTCTTAAAATATATTTCTTTTGTTTCCAATTTAGCTCTCTTATCATAATTGTATTAGTTCTGTCTCATTCCTTATTGCTTTAATTTCACTCTGTATTACTGATAATGAATGAATTAGAATTGTAGGGAACTGAAGTTAACTAAGCCATTGATTGCCTTCTACATAATAAATACTGTGCAAGAACCTTCATTAACTCCTCATGTTTGTGTTTTCTGTGTACCAGGTATCATGTTTTGGGTACAAAAATGTGATCTTTGTCCCTATTTAATTTTACTACACTTCTTTAATGCAGTGTATATCTGTCCTACACCTGTCAGATAAGAAAACTGGGGCATAATTATCTCACCAAAGGTAATGCAACTAATAAATAACAGAGCCAGTATTCAAATTCAGGTTTGCATGATGCCAAAACCTATCCTCATTCCCTTATACCAATTGACTTCCCTTTAAGAATAGAAAAACTACTGATATTATACAAATATTCCCAATTGTATTTTCCCCTTATATTTTTGTGCATTATAATTATACATAATAGTGGTATTAATTGTAATATTGATTTTAATTTCATACATATTTTAATTTTCAGCCTAACAAAAAAAATCAAGATTGCTTATTTGATAGAATTTCAGAAAGTTATGTGACACTTTTCATTAGCATACCTTTAAGACGGAAAGATGCATTTTTTCAGGTAATGGTAGAAATGAACAGTTATGTTAATTATTTTTAGAGTGAATTAAATAGAAAAAATAGTTATTTTGTTTAAACTTATGCAAGAACACATTTTGTTACTTTGAAAGAAAAATTGTCTGATATACAGTAAATAATGGCAATATTTTAAAAGTTATGCTCTTACTGTCACTCCCCACAAGAATATAGTATTCTCATGCCTCAAAGTCTTATAGAATATTTAGTATAATATTTTGTATGATATTAATAATTTGAAAAGTATTAACTTATCCTATATACATTCTTGGTTTTGTTCAATTTACCTACAAATTGATTTATTTTTTCTTTATGATGAATCATTTGATCTATTTAAAATAAATTTCCTATATTATACTTAAGAACCAATCATCTGTTACAATAAAATACAATGCATAAAATTATGACTCAAATGCTTGTTTTGATTTTTTGCTGTTATACTAATGAATAATATTAATTAAAATAATATTCTTGAGTAAAGTAAAATGAAGAATGTAGAAATGTTATTGGAAATGTTTATATTTAATAACTAGCATTTCAAAACACAAGCCATATTCAAATATTTGTTGCTTTGGCAATCTGTAAATCAGAAATACATAATTATTTTAGAATTTGTAAATGTTTTCATTGCTAATGCAGATTTAAAATACAAAGTGTCCTTTATAATGAAAATATATATAAACCTATATTCACAAAGTTTTCAAACATTTATGTTCATCCTTGACCTATCTTACTCACAAATGCATATGTAAAATGTGGTAGCGGACTTGGGGTAAAGAAATATAGCTTCATGTCTGTAATCTGATACAAATTACCTACGTAATCTGTTCAACCTCTCAGGTTCATAAGTAGGTTTTTGGTTACATTAAATGTTAAATAATTGTCATGTGGAACAACATTGTTCTGAAAGATAAAGTAGGATTTCCTTTGCTAATATTGAAATTGTTTTTTCTTATTTTCAGGAAAAAAAGTTAATGATTAAAACTTTGTTGTTAAATTAGCTGAAAATTTAAAAAATTTTTTTTCTAACCATATTCTTTCACTAATATGTCCTTTTGTGGATTTTATATTAATGTGCATTTACTAAGTGTACCTAGCCTATCTACACGGCTTGATAAAATAAAGCAACTTCATCAAAGGACTCTTTAATAAAGGATAAGGATGAAGTGGTCCCATTAGATATCACCCATTCTCTAGTTCTTGGTCCTACTTTTGTGATCTAAATGTTCTCCCCCAAGATGTGTGTGTTATTTAATAGAAGATATAATTGTAACATCTCTCAAATCATGACTTGACTTTTTCTGGGTTCCTACTTTAAGTATCTTTTTCCAAAGGAAAATTAGAAGTTGTTTAATCAGGATTCAAAGCCATATTTGAGAACAAAATGTACATACCTTAGTAATTAGACTCATTGACCTATTCTTTCAATAATTCCTCTCCCTGCTTGCATGTTTGAGAACCAGGCCACCTTCCTGTAGGTTGCATATCCCAGCAGGAATATTTAAGTATAGGTGGAGCTTCATCTCTTCTTGTCCATTTTCCATTATTTTACACTCATTTAACTAAGTGAGGGTTTCATTGCTCTTGGTTCATGTAATTTATCTTACAAAAGCCAGAGAAACTTATTAATGTTTAAGAATGAAAATATTTTCTTCAGTTCCCACTATTAAGTACATTAATATGAACCCAAACATATTTAGTGTGATATTTATTTCCCTTTCTTCCAGTGTCTCACAACAATATTCCTTCATTCCTTATTCACCTTATTCAATATTTTAATTGTTTACATAATCTTATACACTACAGATATAATATGTGATCATTTCTGGTTGTAAAGATATTTATGTTCATTCAATAAAATTAAATGCAATACATTACAGAGGTTTTTTTTTTTCTTTTTCTCATATATCCTCCCACCTCACAAAAAGATCTTGGAGGTCTTAAAAGACACACTATTTTACTAGCAAATCTGAGTACTATTGGATTAGGTAACCATATTGTTTCTTATTGCTGCTTTAATAAGTTATTATGAACTTATTAAATGTAGTTGTTTAATACAACAGAAATTCATTTTCTTAGCTATAGAGACCAGAAGTGAATCTTACAGGGTGAAAATCAAGATGTTGGCAAGATTGTTTTCTCTAGAAGCCTCCAGGAAGAATCCATTCTTTGCCTCTTCTAGTTCTGGTGGTGGCCCATAATCTTTGGTTTATGGTTATATCACTCCAGTCTTTGCCTATACTATTATCACATTACTTTCTTCTTTCTTATCTCATCAAATTTTGCTCAGCTTCACTTTTCTAATGACTTTTATGATTACATTTAAGAGCCCACAGAAGAATCCAAGATGAATTTTCAAGATCTTTAATTATACCTATAAAATCCTTTTGTCTTATAAAGTAACCTCTACAAGTTCTAGAGATTAGAACGTATGTATCTTTTGCACCATTATTCAGTGTGCCTCAGGGACCTCTAAGGACTCTTCCATTTCTAAAATTTTACAGAATTAAGGGCTTACAAGTTGATTGTAAACACTTATCTAAATGAAAATACTAAAATAGTGGTATAAATCTCTTTAATATAAAACTTTAACTTTCTGGATTTAGTCATAACCTGAGAGAAATTTAATGGTTTGGAGATTTGGAAGCTAATTGAATACTAATAGTTCTATAAATTTGATGACATATGATCATGGTTTTAATATTTAAACAATACTGGAGCTGGGATTGTGGCTCAGTGGTAGAGTGCTTGCCTAGCATGTGTGAGGCACTAAGTTCAATTCTCAGCACTGCATATAAATAAACAAAGTCCATTGACAAAAAAATATTTTAAAAAATACTGATTATATTATGTGAACACATTGAAATAAGCTCCAATTATTTAAACTTATACTTTTTATAATGATAACCTATATACATCATTTTCTAAGTGTGGATAGCAATACTAAGGTTTATGGCTAATACCAAACTGTCTTAATTATTAATTTCCTTCTTTATTTATTATTTTGTAAAATGTTAACACTTAAATTAATGTAATTTTTCAATGTTTTTTTGGTTCATGCCCCTCAATTAGAGATAMAAAGAAGTAATAAAATGGCTAAATACAAGCCATAAGAAAATATATATATATCTCCCAAGCTGGTAATTTCTCTGATAGTTAAGATATGTTATATAAAACATGTTTGTATGTTATATAAAATTAACATAATATGACTCCATTTTGGTAGGTATATCCTGATTGTCTGGCACAAGCTATATATGCAACATTCCGGGAAGCATTTCCAGAATCTAGTAACCTCTTTAATGATGAATTTAAAGAAGACCTAGGGAATAACATTTTTCTTTGGATGTCAGGTATGAAAATATTATTTAAGTATTGGTTATTATTTTGGTTCCTAAAATTTGGGGATTGCAGTGTTTTATTTACTTTTCTCAAAAAAAAAAAAAAACCTGAGAGTTCTTTGTCTTAGAAGCATCCCATTTTGAAGCCTAGTTTTAAAAATTATTTTCTTCTGAAAATTTTATCAAAATTAACTACTTATTAACTTTAGAAGCCAAATATCTTTATAAATAGTGAAGTCATTATAAAAAATGGATTGCCACAGAAATAAAATAATTTAATTTGTATATAGAAGACAACTATTTTAAGCTGCTCTGAAGAATAGAAAATTTTTCTACAGATTTGTTATAGACTGAATTATGCTTCCTTCCAAATTTATACATTGAAATTCTGTAGTTTTAACCCAYATTACACCTTGTAATGTGACTATATTTGGAAATATAAAGATTTGTTAAAGTGAGATCATATATGTGGGTCCTAGTCCAAAATGATGTGTGACCTTATGAGAAGAGGGAGAGAAGAGTGATGTGAGCAAGATGACAGAATAGGAGATACCAGTCATCATTCTCCAACAACGAGAATAACAACAAAACTATTTAGTTATCCAAGAACAAGAATAGTTCCAAGGAGGGATCAGGAGTCCAACTAAGAATCTGCAGCAGGGTACCCATTCTCATGTCAGAGAAAGTGGACTTTAAGCCAGAATTAATCAGAAGAAACAAAGAAGGTCACTTCACACTGGTCAAGGGAATCATCCAACAATAAGATATAATGACTATAACTATGTATGCTCCATACAATGGTGCATCTATGTACATAAAATAAACTATATTTAATATTATGAATCAAATAGACCACAGATACAATAACACTGGGTGACTTCAACACACCTCTCTTTCCTTTAGATAGAGCACCTATACATAATAGGAGTAAAGGCTCTTCAGATATATCATTAACCAAATGGATCTAACAGACATCAATAGAATATTTCATCCATTCACAATGAATTCACCTTCTCAGCAGTGCATGGAACATTTTCTAAAATAGATCATATTTTAGGTCACAAAGCAAATCTCAGCAAATTAAAAAATAGAGATGATTCCTTGCATCCTATCATATCATAGTGGTGTGAAATTAGAAATCAATGCCAGTATAAAGGTCTGGATTGGGGATGCTCAGTGAGTAGAGCACTTGCCCAGCATGCTCAAGGCTATGGTTTCAATCCCCAGCACCACCAAAAAGGAAAGGAAAGGAAGGAAGGAAGGAAGGGCGGGAGGGAGCAAAGGGAGGAAGGAAGGAAAGATGGAAGAAAGGAAGGCCAATATAAAAAACAAAACACTCTAACACCTGGATAATAAGTAAATTCACTTTTGAATGATTAATAGATTGCAGAAGAAATTAGAGGAGAAATAAAAAAATTTTACAAACAAATAAGAATACTGATACAACATATCAAAATCTCTGGGACAGTATAAAGGCAATGCTAAGAGAAAAATTTATAGCACTGAGTTCATACATTAAAAATAGATACCAAATAAATAATCTAACATTATACCTCAAAGCCCTAGAAAAAGAAGAACAAACCAACGTCATTTTAGAAGACAGGAAATAAGAGCTGAAATCAGTGAAATAGAGAATTTAAAATAATAYAATGGATCAATAAAACAAATAGTTGGTCTTTTGAAAGGATAAACAAGATTGATAATCCTTAGCCAAATTAACAAAAATAAAGAGGGAGAAGACTAAAATAAATAAAATTAGAGGTGAAAAAAGAAATATCACATACTCCACTGAAATCCAGAGACTCATCAGAAACTATTTTGAAAATTTATACTTTAATAAGCTAGAAAATCTTGAATATAATAACAAATTCCTATAGATATGCCCTACCCAAATTGAACCATGAGGATATAGAAAACCTAAACATATCAATGTCAAGAAATGAAATTGAAACAGATATCAAAATCATTCCAACAAAGAAAAGTCCAGGACTGAAAAGATTCTCAGCCAAGTTCTATAGGACCTTTAAAGAACCAATACCAATCCTTTTCAAATTAGGTAATTAAATAGGAAAGGAGAAATCACTGCCAAATTCATTGTATGAAACCAGTATCACCCTAATACCAAAACCACACTTCCAATACCAAGACACATCAAAGAAAAAACTTCAGGCCAATATCCTTGATGTACCTCAATGCAAAAATTATTAATAAAATATTGTTAAACTGCATATAAAAACACATTAAAAAGATAGTGCACCATGATAAAAGGAGTTTACTTTCAGGGATCCAAAGTTGATTCAACATATGAAAATCAATAAATGTAATTCACTGTATAAATAGACTTAAGAACAAGAATTACATGATTATCTCAATGAGTATAGGAAAAGTATTTAACAAAGTGCAACACCAATTCATGTTTACAACACTATAGAAACTACGATAGATAGGATAGAAGGAAATTTTCTTAATGTTGTAAACGCTATATATGACAAACCCAAAGTCAACATCATATTGAATGGAGAAAAATTGAAAGTATTTCCTCTAAGAATAGGAACAAGACAAGGATGCCCACTCTTACCACTCCTATTCAACATAATCTTCGAAACTCTAGCCAGAGCAGTCAGACAAGAGAAGGAAATTAAAGGGATACAAATAGGAAAAGAAGAGCTCAAATTATCTCTCTTTGCTGATGATATGATCCTATATTTATAAGATCAAAAAAACTTTACCAAAAGACCTCTACAACTGACAAACAAATTTAGTTAAACTTCAGGACACAAGATCAACATATATAAATCAATCATTTTCTTATACTTCAATAGGGAGCCTGCTGAAAGAGAAACTATGAAAACTATTCCATTCACAATAACTTCAAAAAAAATAAAATACTTGGCAACTCATCTAACAAATGATGTCAAGGGCTTCTACAGTGAAAACTATAGAACACTGAAGAAATTGAAAAATATTTTTGTATATGGAAAGACCTCTTATGTTCTTGGATAGGCAGAATCAATATTATTAAAGTGGTCATACTACCAAAAACATTACACAGGCTCAATGCAATTCCCATAAAAATACCAAGGACATTCCTCACAGAACTAGGAAAAGCAATTCTAAAATTCATTTGGAAAAATAAGAGACCCAGAATAGCCAAAGCAATCCTGAGCAAAATGAGTAATGCTGAAGGCAACACAATTCCAGACTTCAAAATATACTACAGAGCTATAGTAACAAAAATTACTTGGTACTGGCACCAAAACAGATACAAAGCAATGGAATAGAATAGAAGACACAGAAATAAACCTAAATAAATACAATTATATGATAGTAAACAGAGGTTCCAAAAACATTTGCTGGAGCAAAGGAAGTCTTTTCAACAAATGGTGCTGGGAAAACTGGAAATCCATATGTAGAAGAATGAAAACTTGACTTCTATCTCTCACCCCGAATAAAAGTAAACTCAGAGTGAATCAAAAACTTCAAAAACTGTGCAACTTCTAAAAGAAAATGTAGGCCCAATATTACAATATGTTGGCACAGGAACTGACTCCTTAACAATATTTCTAAATTGCAAGAAATAAAACAAAAAATCAATAAGTGGGATGGCATCAAATTAAAAAGCTGCACAATAAAGGAAATGAGAGTGAAGAGATAGCTTAGAGAATGGAAGATCTTCACCACCTGCTCCTCATATAGGGCATTAATATCCAGAATATATAAAGAACTCAAAAAATTGAGAAAAATAAATATATGCATATGTATATATAATCCAATTAATAAATGGACAAAAGAACTAAACAGAAACTTCTCAAAAGAAGAAATGCAAATTGCTGACAGATATATGGGAAAATGTTCAACATCTCTAGCAATTACAGAAATGCAAATCAAAGCTACATTGAAATTTTATCTCACTCCAGTCAGAATGGCAGTTTTCAAGAATACAAATCATAGTGAGTATTGGCAAGGATGTGGGGGGAAAGTTTCATTCATGCATTGTTGGTGGGACTGCCAATTAGTGCATACATTCTGAAAGTAGTATGGAGATTCCACAAAAAAATAGGAATGGAGCCACCATGTGTCTCAGCTATCCCACTCCTAGGTATGTATCCCAAAGGATTTAAAATCAKCATACTATATGGATACAGCCACATCAATATCTATAGCACCATGATTTACAATAGCCAAACTACTGAATCAACCTAGGTGCCCTTCAAGAGAAGAATGGATATAGAAAATGTGGTATATGTACACAATGGAGAATTATTCAGCCATAAAACAATGAAATTATGGCATTTGCTGGTAAATGTATGGAATTTGAGACCACTATGCTGAGTGAAATAAGCCAAACTCAAAGCCAAAGGTAAATGGTCAAGTGTTTTCACTGATATGTGGAAGCTAGTCCAAAATGGGGGGTGGCAAAAGGGAAAAGGGGGTAAATTCCATAAATCTGGGGGAAAAAAAGATGAATGGACTAGCTGAAAGGAACTAAGAAGGCAGGAGAAGGGACAAGATAAGGAAAGAACAGCAGAATGAATCTGACCTAACTTCCTATGTTCATATGCGAATATATCATAGTGTATCTCAACATAATGTGTATCCACAAGACATTAACTAAAAAGTAAAAATTTTAAAAATTGATTAGCACAAAGAGTAGAAGAAAGGGAACAAGGAAAGAGAGTAGGGAGAGAAAGGGGAAATACTGGGGACCAAATTAGAGCAAATTATATTCCATGCTTGTATAATTGTATCAAAATGAATCCTAATGTTATGTATAACTAAAAGGAACCAATTTTAAAAGCCTGCAGGGACACAGTGGAGGAAGAAATAGAATGAGCACCAGGAAATATCACTGAGGAGATCAGCATATGTGAAATATCTAGAAATGGCTAAGAACAAAGAAGGGTATAGGTTATCAGAATTCAGCATGTGGTAGGTACCAGTGTATTCCCACAGGTCTGCTCTGCAAAGTATTATGGCAGTCAAGGTCCTTGTTGCCATGGACCTCAACAGCC